ATTTTTATTGGCAAAAATGTCATGCTATTTGCCAAGTATATTTCTGATCCTTTTTAAATGACAGTTATTATTGTTTTTACTTATGTCAGAAATAGTCTCTAAGGCTGGCTTCTCATTGAAATAATCAAATATTTTTGGAACTTCAAACACATCTTCATTTAATCATGTAGATATTGAATGCAGTAATCTCGAAGGTCCCTTCGAGCTGTGAAATAAATTAGTTGTGGGGATCTGTTCATGCTAACTATAAGCCCTTATCAAAAAAAGAAAAACAACAACAATAAAATTACATTACAGTGGTGCTCAAATTTCAATGTGTATAAGAATCACCTGGGGACTCCTGAGCCTCACATCAGAGACCCCAATTGAAGAAGTCTAGGGCCTCACATTTTACATTTAAAATCATACTCTATGTACTTTTGACATATCTGGCTCATAAATCATACTCTGAGAAGCACTGACTTACTACAACAAAATATATAATTGAGTTTGACAGTAGAATTAAATTTAAAAAAATAACAAATTGACTTTTAGCCATGCACAGCAGGGGTCTAATACAGCTATTAATGAATAAACAATCTAAATCATAGAATTCTACAGGCATGATATTCTGGATCACTTCTATTCAGCATGAGAAATTATAACAGTGGAAAATGTTTATCATTTCTTGAAGTCACATTTGGTCTGATGTTACTGAACAGTCAAAGTGTAGTTTTGACAAGGAGAGTCTGTTTAGTGGATGTAGTGGACAAAGAAGTAATTAGGTGAAGGTGGCCTCAGCCACTTATTTCCCCATTCTTCCTGAAGGATATCTTCAGTTAGAGTGTTTTTCCTTGGGTTGTATTGGTTGATGATACATGCCTATGTTAATTATGTTTCCTTAGATGTGATTTGATTGTTGCAAGGTTCGGGTAGGAGAATATCCTATGAATTTGAATGAGGAAAAAGGATATGGCCATAGTTCCAATCTGTGACCAAGCTCCAGTTCTATTCTATTATGTTGTGTTCTTGCTTCTACACAGGACAAAGCCAGCTCACTCCATGTAGCCCAGCTTAGACATGAGGACAATGTTATCTTTATTTCCTTCTTAGATCCACTCCAAGAAAACAGATTCCTGTTATTATTGGCCCAACAGCTTTTTAAAATTGGGGTTGGGGGTGAGGAGTTGGTGTGTTAGAGTTTAGTTTATATCTTTTTATTCTTATATTTAACTTAGAAATTAAAGCATTATGATGACCAGGTAGTCTTGACTAATACAAAAATATCCTATAAGTATATATGCTAAGTTAAAAGCACACTCAATATTCAAACCTAAAGATATACACTATACTTTTTCCCCCCAAGGAGAATAATTATAAGCAATAATCATGGGAAATTTTCTGTACACAGCTTGAAACTGCTATTATATATTCATTTTTCTAGCGGCACTGATGCCAAAAAGAAATTTAGGAACCTTCTATTAATATTTAATAATACGTGTACATTATCTGGTTTAGTTAAGTTGCATGTTAAATAAATTAGAAAGTGATTCACAGTGGCCAAGATACATTTAGTTGCCTAGTAACACATACTTAGATTCTTAAGGAAAAACAGTATATAAGCTACAACTTTAACCTAATTACACTAGTATGTGTCCTGGAATTTAAGCTATCTGGCCTGTGATTTTCAATAATAATTAAATTATGCAAATCACAACTATCCCCTTTACTTTGCCGATATTTGTTTAAAAGTTGCTTATTAAACTTTCAGAATATCTTTAAACTGATACATTTCCCAAATGGTGAGGTGATGCAGTTAAACTAAAACACGATATGAATACGTTTAAGATGCAATTAAAATATTTTCTCATAATTTTAATGCCAATATTGTCTTTGTGATATGCCAACTTGCCATTAAAGAAAGTTTTCAATCACTTCAATAAATCTTTACATGATTTTAGATACCACTTAATGTTTCCAGTTGACATAAGAAAATGAACTATTTAGGATTTTATTGAAAGCTCTTTAGTACATGTCAGCAGACTATTTTGGAACAGTTTCAAAAAGTGACAAATTACAGTAAATTATCTGACAGCAGCTCAACACCACTGTAGCCATTACAAGGCAGAATGCAGGGCTTCGTAAATCTCTGATCGCATATGAACTCGGGGTTTTGTCACAGAGCAGAAACAGCAAACACAAATCTGTCAGGGTGAGGTGTTCCCTTTCCTAATACTTACCTTATTTAACTTTTTTGAATGTTGACATATTATATGGATCTGTAACAAAAGAAGGGAAATACCCCCTTGGCTGGGTTGCCGTTATTAACGCTGTAATAATGAAAGACCTGATCGTAGAGGATGTGTGCCCCCATACACAGAACATCTGCTCCTAGAAGAGGGAAGAATATCTAAACATCTCCAGATGAATGATCACATGAGAAAACCTCACAAAACATGCACTGAGATATTACATATAAGAGGAAATCCTTTTTGGTTCATTTCAACTCACTTGGTACAACTAGGCAAGTTAGTAGTTTTTATAATTGGTTATGTTACTGTCCAAATCATAATGATTTTCCACCCAAGGACTGGCAGTATCAAGCTTTCCTCTCCCTGAGGATGGATGAGTCAATTGTTCATTCAAAATGTGTGACCAAATTACTAGGCCAATTATTTTTTCATAACATACAATGTTTGTGAATGCCTGATGTACTAAACTCTTAATATTAAAGATATTTGAAGAGACCCATATTGTGATGATCTCCTGTGACTGTTAATTATGCCATTAGAAAACATTTGCTCTTTAAAAATTACTATGATTAACATCCACATTACCATAAATGATTTTCATCAGTAATTTTCATTTAAAGGAGCTCCCTTTCAATGCCTGATCTTGGAAAATAGAAGGTGAAAATGAGTTAAACATTTATTCAATATAATGTGGTTAACATGATTAAATAATTGTGGAAAATGGAGGCAATGCAGGAATGTGGAAGAAACATTGTAGTAAGAGTCAAAATTGCTGAATTCTAGCCACCGACTGACTAGCTGTGTGACCTTAAGCAAGTCATTTCTTTTTCTGTGTATCAAATCCTTCCATTACAAAATGGAGACAAATATTTTATAGATTCAGCATAAACATCAAATGAGATGGTTGCTCTGTCAGGGTCTCAGAAGTGAACAAGTAGAATGCTCCAATTAGAAATCTGGGGAGAGTTTAATAAGCAGTCTATTTGCAAAAGGGAGAGGAGTAGAGAGGCCAAGTGATAGTGAAGTGTTACCATCTAGACAGGTGAGTGGAGAGGATGAGTACTGTGACACAGAGACCGAAAGCTTTGTGGAAAGAAAGGGCCATTCCCAGGAGCTCTGGCCTTCCTCTGAGAGATGCAGCTAGTCTCTGGTTAGCACTCTCTGTCTCTGCTCCTACCAGTGTTCCCCGGGGGTTGAACTCAACAGGAAGCCAGAAGACCAGGAAGCCCAACAATATGGCCCTATAGATTAATCTTCCAGGACACAGAGCCAGATGAATGAAAATAATGAACTGAGAGGAGTAAATGGAAATACAGGACAGATGGGGTATGTGAAAATACTTTAAAAATAAAAACCACTGGAGAAATAGAATTCAATTACAGGAGTCAGAAATTCTGAATTCTTTCCTGTCCTTTGCTACTGTATAACTTCCGATACATGCTGCAGTTCCTTATTCTATCAAGTGATGTACAGAAGTTACAAACATCTCTAGTTAAGCTCAAAACATGCAATGAACACTATAAGAGAATATTAAAATACAACGGGCAATTTAAAGACTACCAGGTGCAAGCAAGTCCCTGCTAACTTTGGGAAAATTTCTAAGAACTGATTTCATTGCCAAAAGAGTAAATTAATTTTGATGTTGCTGATGGCAACCACTTACCCATCATTGCATTAGTACTAAGTTCAAAGAGTGATGAGGAAAACATATTTGTAAGAATAAAACTCCCAAATTCATTCTAAAACCTGAGCTAGACAGGCTATAACTCACTGCTCATTGACCCACCTCTCCTGTCCCTTATGCCAGTCATCCTGCTGGTCGTGTTACTGGGTCCCTCAGGAGGGAGGCATCGGAGTTCTCTGGAGATGGCGCCAGCACACCTGCTTGCTGCTCTTCTAGGGCTTCTGTGGGCTTTGCCTCTATGGAGCTTAAATGATAATAGCCTGCATTCAAAGAGCACCTGTCCACAGCCCACACTTGTTTTGCAGAACTGCAGATGGTCCCTACAAGCACAAGGAACAGACTGGCACACTGAATTACTCCGTTTTATCAGCACCCAGTTTTAATTTCCTAATGGAGCTCCACCAAGATAATCACTTTAAGGACGAATGTGTCTATGTAGCAGTCAAACCACATGCTTTGCGGGCATTGTTATTGTTCTCTGGTAGAAAGGGGACATGAGAATGCCCAAACTATTAACCTATTAATGATAAACTTCCATGATTCCCATGTCCCACCTTCATGCCCTAAGCATATATTCCAGAATAAATAGTTGCACTTTCCCAGAAACTTCGATAATAAACTCTTATATATAGATACATGATAATATATGAATATGTTTATTAATATATATCAGATAATATATGAATATATGAATATATATCAGATGATATATGAATATATGCTTGTATTAGATATATACCAGATAATATATTTATCCATATTATATAAATATATATTTATATCAGATTCTTTAATGTGTGTTTGTGTAAAAAGGCTTCTTCATTCTTCATAATGTGTACTGTTCCACTTGGTCAAAGGAGGAGATTTGGTCTCAATTATGTAAAGAGGAAACATAGATGGCTAAGGGGAGCAGTATAATGTGTTGAATTTATCCTTTTCTAGAACTACATTTTAATGTAGTGGAAAAATAATTAACTACTTTGTGGCTTATTATTTTCAATACTAGTGAGGTTATCTATAAAAGAGAAACTGCCTTGCTAAGTGGTCAAGGTAGGATAACCACTATAACAAACTACCCCACAATTTCACTGGATTAAGACAAACCTTTCTTTATTACCTGTGTTATAGTTCAGTGCAATTAGCCAGGTGCTTTGTTCCATGAAGTGACTCAGGAACCTAGGGTCTGCAATGCCTCAGGATCTCACAGTCTTCCCCTGCGGGGAGAGGAAGACAAGAGGGAGAGGGAGGAGAGAGAGAGAGGGAGGTAGGGAAGCAAACAGAGAGAGACACAAGGGGAAGGGAGAAGACGGGAGGAGAGGGGAGAGGAGGAAAGGGAAGGGAAGGGGAAGGGAGAAAGGTGAAGAGAGAGAGAGACAGGATCGGAGAGAGAAAAGAAGAGGAGGAGTAGGAAGAAGAGGAAAGGAGAGAGACAGAGACAGAGAAAAAAATATGAGTGGAATATTTACAGGATTTAAACAGCAAGCATGAATTCTATATAATTTGGCCTATATGCCATTGGCATTCAGTCATAATCCAATCTAATTTCTAACCACAGGAGAAGCTGAGAAATGTAGTCCAGCCACAGTCCCAGGAAGAAAAAGAAATGGGAGTTGTTAAAGACACTGTTTCTGTCACAGTGGCTTTCCAATCCCCAGGGTCTTGAGAGTCCAAAAGTCCCAGTTGTCATCCGAATGTTGCTATTACTTGGACTGCTGAGCTTTTGAATCTAGGAGACCCTCAGATGCTTTTTGAAGGTCGGATCTGTTGCTCTTTAGTATATCTCTGTTTTTGATTCAGTGTTACAGAAGAAGACAAGTACGAAAAATAGTGGGGATTTCAATGTGTGGGTATGTACACATATACCAAGGGTTAGCCAACACGGGAGAAAATAGGTGGGGTGTATGTAATCTATCAAGAGAAACAAAACACTGCATTTAGTCAGGCTGGGAAACAGCCAAAGAGGGTTTTTCTTTTTTTCTTTTTTTTTCCATATACAGATTTACACAGTGACTCAACTCCTATGAAGGGACTTTTTCTTTAGCTCCTCATAGTAACTTCATTCCAGAAATGTTAGACTATTCTCCGTCTTACAAACTGTTCATTGACTTTGCTTTCCTGACTCTAATGAATCTTTTTTCAAACAAAATAATCCATTTTCTTCATCAAGAACACCTGGAGGTATACATACAATTATGCTAGATATTTCCACCATTCCCTTAATGAATGGAAATCATGGACAACCAGGGTATTGGCTCTCTTCAAATGTATCCTTTTCATATTTTTACACTAATTAGTCTGAATTATCAAATATGCATCTCCCTAAGTGTAGAATAGTTTCATCAAAACCTCACAGAAAGCCACTGTTGCCAGTACAGTAGTTCCCCCAGCCGTGGTTGTACTTTCTGCAGTTTCAGTCACCTGGGATCAACCACGGTCTAAAAAGATTAAATGGAAAATTACAGTAGAAATAGGCAGTGCACAGAGGAATTGCACCATTCTGAGAAGCATGATGAAAATCTTGTGCAGTCCTCCTTCTTCCCACCCAGGACATGAATCCACCCTTTGTCCAGCCTATTTATAATTTCAAAGCTACCCATTTCTGAGTCACTTAGCCACCCTCGACTGTCACGATATCACAGTGCATGTGTTCACGTAACCCTTCTTTTACTTAATTGTCCTATTTTATTTTGAGTTAATGTTGTTAATCTTTTACTGTGCCTAACATATAAATTAAACTCTATCATAGAGATGTAAGTACAGTGAAATCTTCAGTTAATGTCATACATAGCTTATTGAAAACTGGGTCTTTAACTGAAACAACTTATAAGGAACCCAATTTTTTAACTCATCAACATTATAAAGAAACAATTTTGGACAAAGTGATGTTATTTGGGCACCTGCCGTATGCTATTTCACTTAAAGTCATGTTTCCAAGAACCTATGGATGACATTAAGTGAAGACTTATTATTATAGGAAAAAAAAAAAACATAGTAAATAGAGGGTTCAGAATTGTCTACAGTTCCAGGTATTCACTAGGAGCCTCAGAATGTATCCCCCACAGATAAAGATAGTAGTGGGTGGGGGACTGCTTAGCTACTAAGAATGGAAGAAACCCAAATTTGGATTTGAGATTCTATCCTGGCTCTGCTATTTAGTGTCTATATGTTTTTATGCATATAAATAAGTAAATATAATACCTTAATGAAGATTACTATAACCATAATTGTTATTATACTACAATTGAATGCCTAGGGTAGTCACAATAACCAAATATAATATTAATTGTATAAGAACTATAATTTTAGCCTAGATGGTAGCATTATATTAAAGATAAAAGGTCCTACTTTGTTCATTTTTAAATAGATAGTTATCAGGGCTTATTAACGCCAAAGGGTATTCTAGATAAACAATTCTATGTTAAAATATAGAACTATTTAATTTAGCTCTGTATTAAATTGTGGAGCATATATTAAATTACTCTTTGTGATGTTCAATTTGTAAAATCGAGTTAAAGAATGTACCTTAAAACCATGGTTATTCTCTCCCCACAGAGACACAGATATCATCTTTCCTTGACACAATGAGCGCACTGTAATTCCAAAAACTTGAGACGTTTATTAAAGTAAAAGATATGGGCAAATGGTCACAATTCACCTTTAAAATAATTACGAAAGCATATTTTGTGAAATTTATGAATTTATGGTAGAGCTATTCTAAAAGTAAGAATGTCCTCTGATTCAAGATATGTTTGACTTTTAGGTGCAAATAGTACTTAACAATGATAATAATAATTGTATGTAACAGTCATTGAGAACTTGTTTGTGTCAGATACATGAGCTATTTTATGTCAAATAAATAATTATACTTAAATCTCACCACATCTCAATATGATAGCTCTGTTTGGGAGATGATAATGCTGATGCAGATAGTGTGTAACATAATTCCTTTTGCTTATTTCTCTTTATAGTCAGATAAAATAGTCACATTTTGGGGAGGTTTTTAAGTCCAGTGTTTCCAGAAGACAAAGAAGGTTTCTTTGCCTTTGATTCAGCAGGTGTTATTCACCTGTTCTAGCCTATCATAGGAGAAAGGTCTGGAGCTTTAGCATCAGAAAGATCTATGTAGTATCTCAGCTCTATCCTTTACCATCTTTGTCATTTTCAGCAAGTAACTAATATCTCTGACCTGTTTTTTCAATTGCAAAATGAGGTAATAATACCTGATGCCTGAATTCTTTAGTGGGGGGAGGTCAATATATTATATAATGAAAGCAATGCTCAGGCAATGGAAGATGATATTATTTAGACCTGAATTGGGCCTGGAAATAAAATAAGTAAAATAACTTAATTCCCTGCTCTTTGTGGCTTGTGCAATCTCATGAGGCAAATGGATGCACCAGGAATCCAGCTGTAATACACAACTGTCAGAGAAACACTTTTAACCAAAGTACAATGTCCTGTGAGAGAACAAAGAGAAATGATTCTGATTAGATTAACATTTTTGTTTACTGCATTTGTTATAGTAAATAAGCTAATTTGTTTATATAACATTTTGTTTAATAACATTTGTTATAGTAAATAAACTAATTTGTTTAGAAAATCACACCAGTCCATGTTCAACACATTTCATAAAGAAATTCATCCATGGTTTCGTTATGTACCCTGTGTTATTCTATGGAAAGTTGAATAATAATTTTATAACTTGGGAGATATTAAAAGTAAGAGGGGGTTATATATCTATTCATTCAGTCTCCTGTATATTCAGAGAGTAAAATTGAGGACAAGATAAAGCTTCTTGCAAAAGTTTGCCAAGCAAGTTATTGGTAACTTTATAACTTCTCAAACCCGGATTTGATAGCATTCACTCGATGAAGGTTTTCAAGACACACGGAGAGAATGTTACATTAAGGTAAAATTGTCACATCTGGTTTAAAACAACATAGCCCAAGGAAGGTTACACAGAAAACTTGAGGCTTAAATATAAATTATTACAACAATAAAAATAAAATTTCATGTATCAAAGCTGAAATGCAGCTATGTAACAGGAGAATCAATAATTCCTCTTCAATAACAATTTGCCTTACACGATTCTGCATTCCAGAAACAGTGGAAACATTTTTCTGTGATTCCATTAACAATAAATTACATCTTGAGCCAGTGAAATCATGTAAATTGGGTCTTTTGTGATTGTTGAAAAAGCTGGTGCTTTATAGGTAAAGACCAAACAATAAACAAGAAGAAAACATCACCTTTCTCTTACCACACTGCCAGTGGAGATCTAGATTATCCCTGAGCAAGCCAGAGACAGAATAAATCCTCGATCAAGTAGGTAACCTTAAAGGTAATCCCAAATCGGCGTTTCACACATTGGAAGTACACAGTCCCAATACTGATAATGTTGTTTATTTTACTTCCAAAATTCTTCCATTGTTTCATTTTCTTTCTACATTTATGTTAGACTTGTCATACAGACAAAAAACATAAGGATTGATATTTTTATCCTTTTTTCAAGAAATTTATCTGCAGGGGCAAATTCATACAGATACCCTGCTGAGCCCTCTTTGAAAATCTTAAACTGCTACATGAAAACATTGAAGTTGAAAATTTTTTAACTGTTGGACTATTTTTTTCACTAAAAGAGAATTAATTTTTGTAAAATTAAATCACTCGATTTCACAACCACATCATTTGACTTGCTAGTCTTTCTCTTTTTAATCCTTTTTTCCTAGCATCTGAGTAGTGCTTATATTTGAGGTGTTGCATTAATTGAGTTTTTTACCACCTTTATCTACATTTATGAAAATGAGTTCACATGATGATTTTAAAGTGTTTGTATTTTGTTAGATAGAAATCTACAGCTTTTAAAAATTAACATATGTAAAAATAATAAAGAGAAAAATGTTTTATAGAATGCTACCAATGCTTTATAATAAAGTAGTTAAGCCATGTTAGCCTAAAAACAACCATGAGCAAAAGAAGATGTTAATTAGAGACTTCAAAATCAAGTTGGAATGAAAATACTTGAGCTTCTAGTGCTTGCCATTTGTTTCGCCTTCATGTGAGCATAGACCCCACAGTGAGTTATTTTCTATTCAACATTTGATGAAGTTGTAGAAGCTGAAAATTCACCTTTGGATACCACGACATTACGTTACGAGGTTGAGATGTTTCATTAGCAAAAGAAATATGTTGTTCTCTCAAATTACTTTGCATG